TTTCTATTTTAATATTTAGATCTTTAATCCATTTTGATTTTAGTTTAGTGCATGGTGAGAGATATAGGTCTAGTTTTAATCTCTGGCAAGTTGAAACCCAATTTCTGCAGCACCATTTATTAAAGAGGCTAACTTTCCTTCAGTGAGGGTGTTTGGCTCCTTTGTCGAAGATGAGGTGGCTGAGTATCTGGAGTTGTATCTGCATCTTCTAATCTATTCCATTGGTCCTCAGGACTGTTTCTTTGCCATTATCATGCTATTTTTATCACAGTAGCTTTGTAGTATAGTTTCAAGTTGGGGTTTGTGATACCCCCTGCCATGTCTATGTTGCCTAGAATTTTTTTGCTATTCTGGGTCTCTTCTTGTTCCAAATAAATTTTTGGATTGTTTTCCCAAGGTCCGTAAAGTATGCTGCTGGGATTTCAATTGGGATTCCATTGAATCTATAGAGCAGTTTTGGAAGTATGGCCATTTTCATTGTATTGATCCTTCCTACTCAGGAGCAGGGGTTGTCTTTCCATTTTCTGACATCATCTTCCATCTTTCTTTTCAGAGTGCTATAGTTTTCAGAGAAGAGGTCTTTGATTCCTTTTGTTAGGTTGATTCTTAGTTATTTCCGTTTTTTGGATGCTATTGTGAAAGGAATTGTTTGCCCTATTTCTGTCTCAGTGAGTCTGTTGTTCGTGTAGAGGAAAGCTATTGATTTTTGTGTGTTGACCTTGTATCCAGCTACTCTACTAAATTTGGTTATTAAATCTAGAAGACTTTTCGTGGCATTCTTGGGGTCTTCTAAATAGAGTATCATGTCATCTGCAAAAAATGACAATTTGATTTCTTCCTTTCCTATCTTTATTCCTTTTATGTCTTTCTCTAATTGTGTTTTTCTTTTAAGACAAAAGATGTTAAGGTAGAGTTGTTTTTTTCTAAACTAAAATCCCAGTATTTAGGTTTAATTTGCAGTGTTGCCACTTTGTGATAAATAAGTGGTTTTTTTGTTTTTTGGTTTTTTTTGGTACCTGGGATCAAACTCGGGACCTTTTGCTTGCGAGGAAGGTGGTGGCACCACTGAGCTAAATCCCTGGCCCAATAAGTGGGTTTTGAGTTGGAGTTTGGCACTCATTCTCTAAAAGGTTTGCCATCACTAGTCTAGAGAGTAGGGTTTGCCAGGCTGAGAAGTTTAAATGTTATCCTTGAAACACTCATATAAGAAGGTAGACACTATCATTCTCTTTCTTCAGGTGAGGAAACTTTGTAGAGTAAGGGACAGGGCTGGTGTTAGTCCTTAGCTCTGATTCCCTACCTGTGTGCTCCCCTGCAGGATTGGTGGTTATTAGCTGTATTAGGATTAATGGCAAGTTCTAGAGATGGTGTGATATTGGAGGTCCCACAGGTGAAGTGGGCAGAGGGACACAGAACTTACTTCCTGTTGAGCCTTTTCTCTTCTGTCCTGAGCTTTAGATCCAGCAGTTCCTCCGACTGGCCCAGCGGGGAACGGATGAAAAAGAGAGAGAGAAGGCTCTGGTCAGCCTTCGTCGAGGCTTGCAGCACCTTGAGACACAGCAAACCTTCATCTGGTCAGTGTGGGTGGTATAAGTGGTTGGCCAGCGCTCTGAGGGGACAGGAGAAGGTAAAGGGACTGGACCACAGGCTTATCAGGGCTCTGGTGTGTGATCATGTAGGATGGAGGGCAGTATGCGGATCCTGGTTGGGCTCCTGACCTGCAACCGGGCCCTGTTGCAGCTTGAGGCGGCTCGGTGTCTTCATGAACTCTCTCATTCTGAGCAGTCTGCGGTGGCTGAAGCCTGCCTGCCAGCTACTTCCTACCTCCTCATCTATCTCTCCGGTCACAGTTCAGACTTCATAGTAAGCCCTGTCCCTACTACTTTGTTTTGGGCTTAGATTTTAAAATAGTGCTTTTGAGTCTAGTTTGAGCTGGCAGCTAAGTGGAAGGAAAAAATAAAAAATAAAAAATAAAAAAGCATTTCCCTGATGCCCACAGCAGTGCATATATTCTTCATCACTCTCTTGTGAGCTTTAAGGTGAGCCCAGCCCAGTGCTATTGTTGCCTGCTCTTAGGAGCTGTGTCTCTATACACTGGGGAACTTGATTGTGGAGAGTGAGGCTGTGAGAAGGCACCTCCTGCCACAGGGCATTGTTCCAGCTTTGGCCTCCTGCATTCAGGTGAGTGCCTCCCTTCCCTGTCCCTGGGCAAGCCGTCCTTTGCTCCCCTTGCATGCCTCACTGGCTTTGAGTAGGTCGCTCCCACTTCCATGCCAGTTGGCTGAAAGTCTCAAGTGACCTTATGACCCAACTTCCAAAGTCAGATCACTACCCTGTCTACTTCTAGTCCCCCCATGTGGCTGTGCTGGAAGCTGTCGGATACACCTTGTCCCAGCTTCTGCAGGCTAAGGAAGCTCCAGAGAAGATCATTCCGTAAGTAAAATTATGTCTCTGGACATTCAGCCAGCGTTGAACCTCTTAATAGCATGGTGTGATAAGATCTGATTTTCAAAGCTATTGCACATTTTAACTCTGTATCTAGTTAGGAGGAGCTTTGGATTTGGACACTTTCTCCTTGGTATAAGGATCTGGGAAGAGCCACTGGCATCTTTGTGGTTCCTACTCACAGCTGTATTTCTGTTGACAGCCATATCCTGGATTCTACTCTGCTCCAGCACATGTTACAATTGATGCAACCAGGCCCAAAGCTGAACCCTGGGGTTGCTGTGGAGTTTGCATGGTCCCTTCACTATATCATCTGCAGGTAACACAGGCCACTTGAGAAAATGCTAGAGATCTTTGCCTTACATGTCACCTTAGGTCTCTGAATGCCAGTTTCTGGAATTGCTATAGTGTTTTTATTCCTCTGTGGTCCTCTTTTTCCCCAGGGAACCCACAGACTTAGGCAGTTTCCCAGCTTAAAGGGGGGATTGACTGCCATTGACTGTTTGCTTCCCGTTGCCCAGCCAGGTCAACAATGCCCTCCTTATCACTCATGGGGCTCTGTCTACTCTGGTGCTGCTGCTGTTGGACTTGGCTGAGGTGGTCCAGAGAACGGAGGATGTGGGACTGGAGCTGGTAGGTGAAAAGGACAGGTCAAAATCTGGGAGACGTTTCTTCAGACTCTGCTCTTCTGGTGTTCAGTAACCCTGTCTTATTTACACCTGATCCTCAATTTGTCTTTGCAGCTTGCATGCCCTGTGATTCGGTGTCTAAGCAACCTGCTAGCAGAGGTGGCCACAGAGGATGTGGGAGGGCAAATGGAGCTCAGAGATGAACGTATTGTGGCAGCCTTATTTATCCTACTTGAGTTCTTCCTTCAGAAACAGCCCAGCCTGCTTCCTGAGGGCCTCTGGCTCCTCAACAATCTCACTGGTATGTACAACCTGTCCAGACCTGGACCTTTATTGCAACATCATCAAAATATTAAAACCAAAGCAGGAGGGAATGAAGCTGTTAGGAGACTAAAATGCAGAAAGGTGGAGGGGCCCATGCAGTCTGGATTGAGGGAGGTCCTTCACCTACCTCTACTGAATCCTGTCATTAAAGGCCTTCCTACTTACATCTCCCACCTCACATCCATCTAGGGGGGCATCTGGAGCCCTGAAGTGACTCCCTGGAGAGGCACTTTCCCAGTAAGTAAATTCCTCAGACCTGAGCTCCTTCAGGGTAGAGCAAAAGAACAGCTCAGGGTATAGGGAGATACAGTATTAGCCCCACACCCTCCTACCCTTTGCTTATTCCCCAGCCTTGTCTAAGAAGCTTTATTCAATTACACTCCATTGAAGTGAAATATTTTAATGAATATTTTGATCAGAAAATCCTTTAAGGATGAAAATGCTCTTACTATTCTGCAAACCTAGCCTCCTTGCCTGACCTAGTCAATGTGCAGGATTTTGGGGTAAGATGGCCACCTCGAACTTCATGGGGGTCCCTGGAGGAAGGAGACTGAAAGTGCAGTTAGCAACACCCACACATAACGTGGATGCATGCATGTGTGACACACCAAGGAATGTTGGTAGAACACACACATTGTTCTGCTGAATTTACCAGTATGTGCACATGCATATGTTCACATAAACCAGTCACCTCAGGTACATGTGTATTTTGTTGAGTGAATGTACATACCTGCCACAAATACAAAATCTTTCCCTTTTTGGCTTGTTCAGTCTCCTGGTGGTAGCCGGATCCAAGAGCTAGAAGTTCTTGGAGACAGGAGTATAAATGAAACTTCTCCAATGGGGCTGGAGAATGGCCAGGGCAAGGGGCTCCAGGGCTGCTGACAGGGTAGGTATCTCAGGAGTCTTGTCCTCTCTAAACCCTGTCAGAAATCCAGGGAGGTCCAGTTCCAAGTCATAGTGAAAGAGGTCTCTGATACTCTTGTCTTCCTGGACACCAAATAGTATTTAAGGGCTTTATGATGAGGGTGGGGACTGAAGAACTCAAGAGACACATGCTGTAGGAGTGAGTTAGCATCAGCAGAGACAGGTATTCTTTGTTCATAGGGCCCTGTAGACCAACCATCTGGAGAACAGTGATTTCTTCTCTGGACTGACGAGGGTCTACACCTTTAGATACAAGAAATGCTTACTCATGGCCTAGGGCTTGGTGGGTAGCATTGAGGGGAACAGTTCAGGCCCTAGTATAAAGTACTCCATATTGACATTTTTCTTTCCAGCAAACAGTCCTACTTTGTGTACTTCTTTGCTCTCTCTGGACCTGATTGAACCCCTCTTACAGCTGTTGTCACTATCTAACGTGGTGACCGTACTGGTATGTATTGGAGTTGTGAGTCTAAGACCTGCTTGTTAAAAGAGTAAACAAGTCTTCAGTTCTCAGAAGTACTCTTTGTTGAGAGCTAGAACAGTCTAGGTGTCGTTTCCTAGATTACTATTTTCCTCATGCAAATCAACCAGCCAGCCTCTTCACATATAATTGGGGTAAAAGTACCTGAGTTAGTTGTGGGGATTAAAGAATGTGCTTACAAGAGTTTGGCATGGTGTGTGGGCCTGAACTGCATATCATCATCTTTTGTTTTTCCTCCTTTGGAGGATTGTATATATGTCTCTCTGCAGGTGCTCACAGTTCTGTGCAATGTTGCAGAGAAAGGTCCAGCTTACTGCCAGCAGCTGTGGCCAGGGCCCCTGCTTCCCTGCTTGCTAAACACAGTGGCCCTGTCAGATACTGATGTAGTAGGCCAGAGTTTGGAGCTGCTACAGCTGCTGTTCCTCTATCAGCCAGAGGTAGGTTTCTGGCCCTGGCCTCATCTCCCCTGCTCAGAAGTTCCTAAAGTCACTATGGCCTTCTGTTCCAGTCCCATCTATGGATATTTCTCCAGGCTGCGCTAGCCCATGTGGGTTGTATGTTGGAACTTGTATCATCTTGTTAGGAATGAACCCTCTTCCAGGAGTTCACCTAGAAGTTGGCTAATCCACGAGGCTAGGAGGAATGAGTCTTAGGGCACAGGGACCCAGGTGTTGAGTCTTTTTCTTTCCTGCCCCCAGGCTGCCCAGGCCTTCTTGCAGCTATCTGGGCTGCAGGCCTTGGAAAGGCATCAGGAGGAAGTCCAGCTTCAGGATCGAGTGCATGCTGTCCAGCAGACAGCTCTTCATTGCTGACTTGGCTTTTTAATGTCACACACTCTTAACATCTCACCAGCTTCTTGGCTCATTTTCTTTCAGGAAAATGAGGACCATTATGAGCTTACTTTCTGCTCTCATACGTTATTCAAAACCTTTGGATCCTAGCTCCTCCTCTTACCAGATTGTTCAAACAGGAGCAGAGGGGAAATGATACAGTGCATTTATTCTGGGGCCTTGGATTCTCCCACCACAACCCCATCCTGGTCAGCTGGTGGCTTTTGATGAAAAAGAATAAAGTTTTATTTTTATATTCAACTGCTTTGTCCTGTGGTTGTACAATAAAGAGTAGAGGGTAAAACAAGGAAAAGAACACCCTGAAACAGCATTTTACAGCACAAACTTTATAAGGAAGAGACACATTTTCTCACTGTACTATCTAGCAGAGCTCTGGCTTCTGGGGCTCTTGGTCATAATCCTCAGTGAAGGCTTCAAGCTTTGCCACTTAGTACATTTTCCAGGGCTCTGGTTACCTGATCAGCACTGAAGTTGTTCAAAGAGACATTCTTCTCTTGGCCAAATGCTGAGAAGAAAGATTACAAAATATGTACTCTGCACCATGGGATTACCAATTTTTTTTTTTTGAGACAGGGTCTCACTCTGTAGTTCAGGGTGGTCTTCAGTTCACTACATAGCCTAGGCTGGCCTCAAACTCAAACTCATTCCTCTCCAGCCTCCTGAATGCTGGGATTATAGGTAAGTATCACCATGCCCAGTTTGGGGCTACCAAATTATAATAAAAAGTCTTGTTAGAATGGGAAAGACAGTAAAGAGATTAAGATCGAGGTGAATTTGGTATGGCTAGAATTAATCTATTGCATTTCTTTTTTTGGTACCAGGGATTGAACTCAGGACCTTTCTCTTGCCAGGCAGGTGCAGCCTTTAATCCAGCAAGTTTCAAAATACACCAAGGAAGCCTAGGTCCAAGAAGAATTTGGAGAAGAAAGGTGTTTCAGGGAGGCTTTAATGGTCACTATAGACATTTTTTATTAACCGTGGTAGGCGGTATATTACATAGGCCTACCCTTGGGTAGGTTCCCATTCTTTGGGCTCTCACAGGCCATCTGATGTAATATATGGCACAATAAAGTTACCTGTGTGTCTCCTCTTTTAGTCTCCTGGTTTTAAGGGACAGAACCTTTTCTCCAGTTATTAGTGTATCATGTATGTGTTGTGTATGACATACTGCAGATGTCCAATTACACCCAACTTGCCTTAGGTGTAACACTCTCCCATCCCCAGACATTCCAAGGGCACAGTGTAATGAAAAACAATAAAACCCTACTGCATGTAACTACATCTATTGCATACCTACTACATGTTAGGAAGCATAAGAAATGTTCAGATTGTGATAAATTGGAATATGATAAAGGAGCTGTGACAATATTACATTACTAGTCAGGGAATGCCTTTTTAAAGTGAGACATAGGCCAGGGATATAGTTCAGTGGCGCTGTGCCTGCCTGGTAAGCGTAAGGTCCTCAGTAAGATCCCTGGTACCACAAAAAAACCCCCAAAAAGCTGAAGTGAGATATAGTCAGATACGAATGACAATGAACAGTAATAAGGAGTCAGCTATGGAAGTCTGAGAGATGCTAAGAGGACAAATGTAAAGGCTCAGTCCTCTTTCACACTAGCTGTACAGTTTAAGTATGTTTCATAATGTTATGATTCAGTTTTCGAATCTCTAAAAGAAGAAAAAACAATCCACCCCTCATGATTAATCAAGATTAAATGAGATTTAGGCAGCAAATCGGCACAGGGCCTACCACTAAGTGCTCAATACAGACTCTCAGTACCTACATCTGCACTGGCCACAGGTGATTTGAAAGGACCTACACAGACGGAAACTGAATGGCATGTTTTTTTTCTTACCTGGAGTCTTTTTTTTTTTTTTTTTTGAGATGAATCTCGTTATGTAGCCCAGGCTGGCCTCAAACTATGGCAATCCTCCTGCCTCAGCCTCCCGAATGCGGGGATTACAGGCGTGCGCCACCACACCAGGCTCCTGAAGCCAATTCTGACCTACATAACTCCTGGATCCTACGCAAGTCCAGGCCAGAGCTTGTACAGATGCCACCCTGGATACAAAGCATCACGCCCGCGAATGTGAAGTTTTCATCGGAAACAGCATGGTTTAAATACGAATCAAGTCTCTCCACAGGTTTTTGTGTGGACAATTTTCTCACCAGAACCCGTGCGCACTGCACTCACCGTAGCGGGCCCAGAGTTTGGGCTGAACATCGGAACATTCGCGGATTAGAACGGGAAGGTCAGGGTTCGCCTTCTTCAGCTCCACATACCGTTTCTTGATGAAGTCCCTGCGGGGCCAGAGAGAGCGCTGCGCGTACAGTGGACGCGGGCTTCTCGAAACATCGGAAGGTCGAGGTCTTGACCTCGGCGTCCCGAAACCCTCCCGCCTCACCACGCCGCGCCTCACCTGACCCCCTGGCTGCTGGGCGAGCGCTGGCATAAGTGGATTCGAATCTCACGCAGGCCCAGCTTTGCCCCAACCGCTCTACCAGCCGCAGTCGCTGCCGCCGCCATCTCCACTAACTACTGAAATCCCAAACCCAGGCTTTCCGGCCAAGTTCTTCAGCAGGACCAATAGTGGATTGGATGACTTGAGGGGCGGGACAGAGCTTAGCCAATGACAGGAAAACATTGTAGGGCCGTAGTCAGGCTGTATTCCTCTGCGCGTGGGCTGGGACCAACGGTAGAGGGAGGAAGCGGAGTATAGGAGCGCAAAGCACTGTGGTTGATTTTCGAGGTGCATTGTGGGGAAAAAAGCCTCTCGGTCGTTTTGTTGTCAGAGGCGGGCGTTGAGACTCAGACGAAATGCCGGAGAGAGAAAGTAAGACTCGGCTCACTTGTTCTTTTCTTTTTTTCTCCACGGGAACTAGGGCGATTTGGGGCGTTATTTTGGCTACTGAACTTAACCGGTGTTGTGTAACGCTCACAGCCTGGCGAATCCTTCTGGCTGCGAGATGCCAGACAACTGTCGACTCCCCTTGCCTCGCCCGATTTACAGAACTACGGGCGTCTTTATCTCCACCCCCCGGCCTCTTCCTTACTTAACTAGTGTGTTGTTCTTGTTCATTTCTTACCTTTTGTTGTTGTTTTTGAGACGTGGGTCTTCCTATGTTTCCACCTGGCCTTAAACTCGCCATCCTCCCGTTTGCTCTCGAGTAGCTGAGATTACAGACATGTGCCACTTTCATATAGCATTTTAGATGTGATTTTCAGCAAAGCCTTTGCTAACTCTCCAGCTCAGTTTCAGAGCCCTTCTGTGCTGTCATAGCTCCTTGTATTTTCCCACTTTAGCATTTATTACATGGTATTTTTTGTTTTTTTGATACAAGGTCTCGCTGTGTAGTGCAGCCTGGTTTTGAATTCACCATGTAGCTCAGGCTGGCCTCAAACTCACAGGGATCCTTCTGCCCCAGCCTCCCGAGTGCTGGGATCACAGGCGTGCACCACCACATTACATTACATTGTATTGTCAATGGATCTCTTTTTGGCTTTCTTTTGTACTGTTCTCTGCTGTAATCCACAGTTTTTCCAAAGGACCAGACACAAAGACTGAACCTGAATGTTAATTTTGGTTTTTTTAGGCGAGCCGTTCTCCAATCCTTTGGCCCCAGATGGCCACGATGTGGATGATCCTCACTCCTTCCACCAGTGAGTATTTGTTTTAGGATTATGGAATTTAGATGGGCAATAAATAGGAGTGGTGGTGTTGCTGATGGTGAAAGAATTTTAAATATCTTGTTAATAAGGGTTGTCAAGAGATCATACCACTTAGCATAGGAATATCGGAGAAATTCTGACAAGGAAAGTGCTTGTTCTTTAACTGTGATAACAGTATTATATGAGAATTAATTTTCCCTGTACAAAATTAAAACATTGGAAAAAGGGTAAAATCTTTGATAACCTCCCCAATTCCAGTTCCTTTCTTAGAGGTATGCACAGTAACCTTTTTTAAAAATGTGTATCTTTTCCTCTTACTCCTTTTTTTTTTTTCGGTACTGGAGATCGAATTCAGGACCTTGCGCTTTCGGGGCCAGGCAGCAGAACCACTGAGCTAAATCCCCAGCTCCTCTTACTCTTTAACACATTTATATGCATACATACTTACCTGAGGAAAATATATCATTGTTTTACAAGTTAAAATATTTAAATGGTGTGATATAATATATATCATTTTGCAAATTTTTAAAACCCCATTCAGTGTCCTGGAAATTTTTTTCATGACAGTAACTCCCTTATTGACCAAATTTGTCAGGTGCCAAGGGGGGGAAATATATATATATTTTGGTACTGGGGATCGAACTCAGGACCTTGTGCTTTCAAGGCAGGCACAGTGCCATTGAGCTAAATCCCTGGCCCTCCCAAGAATATATTTTTGACTAGACTTTGTCCTTGGCCTGCTGAGCCCATCTATAGCATAGAGTTAAGAACCCTCTCCAATACTTAGCCAAGTTCCTCTTAGTAATTTTCTATAAATCATCCCTTGTTTCTGTTGTGTTCGAGTTAAGCTCAGTCTGTCTCTCTTATTGCAATAGTATTGATTCCTGTTCTAGTAATTTTCAATAAAGTCTTTCTTTGAGGGAGGAACTTGGTTAGATATCAAAGACGGGAAGGAGAGCTTGATTGGATATCAAAAATGGGGTAATTCTTAATAAATTAACAGAGCCCTAGTCAAGAGGCCTCAAAGGAGTCTGACTCTAGTTTATCAAGGAGTAAGTCCTTGGTGTACTAATTGAAATTTTACTTTTACCATCAGTGCTGTCTGTCCCACATTAGGGAAACACCATCACAGTTTGTTTAGTAAATCTCCAGTTAAGGGACATTTAGGTTCTTATTACCTTTTATTATTTTCAGGGCTACAATTGAATCTCTTTTACAGATCTTATGTACATGACAGTAATTGGCTGAGCTAAATTTAGATTAATGGAGTTGCTTATTCATATAATATATACACTTTTTTTTTGGTACCAGGGATTGAACTCAAGTCCTTGCGCTTGCGCAGCAGGTGGTGAAACCACTGAGCTAAATCCCCAGCCCTTAACTTTTAATAAATACTGCCAAATTGTCTTCCAAATGAGTTACACTGATTCACTTTACTTTGTATTTCTCTGGTTTCTTTTTTTGGTATCAGGGGTCGAACTCAGGACCTTGTGGTTGCGAGGCAGGCACGGCGCGACTGAGCTAAATCTTCCTGGCCCTGTCTGGTCTCTAATTAACCATGTTTTTTACATGTTCCTGCTTCATTTCCTGTTGGGTACTAATTTTTAAAATCTTTGCCTTTTCTTCTAGATCTAAACTCACCAATGAAGACTTCAGGAAACTTCTCATGACCCCAAGGGCTGCACCTACTTCTGCACCACCTTCTAAGTCACGTCATCATGAGTAAGTCTTCAGGTGACCCAGTCTCTCTTCTATCTCCTTTGCTCCTGTCTATCCTTTTGTATTGAACCAGAATGTCTAAGGAGTTGAAAAGTCTAGTCCTTTTTTGAAGCCTGTGTTTTTTTTATTATCTCCCTATGAAGATTGAAGCTCCAGTGAGGACCGAGATGCCCTGGGTTCTCATTGTTTCTTAGGGTATATTCCACTTGTGCTAGAGTCGCTGATGGTGTGAATCAACATAGTTTTGGGTCTGTTCCAGCCCCACAGACTCAGACTTTCTGGGATGGATACTTGGGGCCATGTGATATTAATGCTTTTTAAAGTTTGAGAACTGATCATAAATATTGATGTTTATCTGTGTGATTGAAACTGTGGCTTTGGTCGGATTCTAGGCCTTTTTAAAAAAAAAAAAATCTTTATGGGCACTTCTTGGAGTTCTCCAGGTTGGGGCAATGTTTTACTGTCAGTGATTTTCTTGTCTCTTGTAGGATGCCAAGAGAGTACAATGAGGATGAAGACCCAGCTGCACGAAGGAGGAAGAAAAAAAGGTGGAGACAGGGTGAAAGGCTGTTGGGTTTTAAGACAGATGTGTTTAAGGAAAGGGAGTAGAGGCTGAGATTTTCATTTGTTGTCTTGAGGTTCTCTGCTTCCTTAATGAAGAGAGTGATACTTTTTTTTTTTGGTACCGGGGATCGAACTCAGGACCTTGTGCTTTGGAGGCAGGTGGCGGAACCACTGAGCTAAATCCCCGGCCCAAGAGAGTGATACTTAAGAGTGGCAGTGTATGGCTTTGGAATCAGCCTGAATGTATTTTAGTGTCATCTCCACCAGTTTTTAGCTGGATTACCTTGTGTATTTTGTTTAACCTCTCTAATCCGTGGATAGAATGTAGATAACACACCTGTGGTCCCAGAACTCTCTGGGAGGCAAAAAAAAGAACTGGTGATGTAGCTAGTGTGTGTGAAGGCCTGGGGTTCAATCTCCAGTACCACTCAAAAAAAAAAGGAATATAGACAACAATAGGCTCTTGTGTGTGTGTGTATGCTTAGAACCAGTGCCTGGCATATAGTACCACCCGCTACATCCTGGCTGTTATCATCATCATTATTATCATTTTTATATAATATTAAACTTTCTGGAGTGGCTACTTTGATTTTCTTGTCTTCTGAGGGTTGAACAGCAGGGAATGAGTTATTTTTAATTGAAATTTCAGAGGTAATAAAAATTCAGAGACAATGAGTATACTGGTGTATGCCAGTAATCCCAGCACTTGGGAAACTAGCAAGATGAGCATGGGTTCAAGGCCATGCTAGGCTACATAGTGAGTTCACACCTGGCCTGGATGACATAGTGAGACCCTGTGTCCAAAAAAAATTTATATTGAGGATTTTTTTGATTGTGTGTGGAAAAGTCCCTCATAGCTTTAGAGAATCAGTAGAATTAGGTGGCATTAAAGAGTTCTCCAGTGACAGCTGGAGTGTCTCAAGGTGCCACTGGAACAGTATCTGTGAGATGGAAGAAATTGTAGTTTTGATATGAGGACTATCAAGAAGTAAACAGCAGTTCTATTAGGACATATATAGTTTTCACTGTAGAGAGATGGATAAAGATACAGAGAAACAGGCAGAAATAATTCTTTTGACCATTACATAGCAGCTGACGAGTCTTACATATTTGCTTTCTCTGGTCACAGTTATTATGCCAAACTACGCCAACAAGAAATTGAGAGAGAGAGAGAACTAGCAGAGAAGTACCGGGACCGTGCCAAGGAACGGAGAGATGGTGTGAACAAAGATTATGAAGAAACTGAACTTATTAGCACCACGGCTAACTACAGGGCTGTGGGCCCCACTGCTGAAGCGTGAGTACTGAGGAAGCCAGGGCATGGTTCCCTCAGCATCTTGGAATCGTACAATCACAGTATAAGCTCTTCCTCCTACATGTTCTGCTTTGGAATTCTCACTAAGGTATTTCAAGAGGCACTTGCTACTCACAAAGAATTGTTCTAGTATGACTTTTATCATTATACAGGGACAAATCAGCTGCAGAGAAGAGAAGACAGTTGATCCAAGAATCCAAATTCTTGGGTGGTGACATGGAACACACCCATTTGGTGAAAGGCTTGGATTTTGCTCTGCTTCAGAAGGTGAGGCGTGGTAAACAGGTGGGGAGTAATACTAGAGTGCTGAAAGCTCTTGTCTGGACCTTGGTAAAGTGAGGAGGGAGATGTCCCCTAGGACCATCTAGTCTGTAGGAAGGGCTAGATGTGGTCCTTCTGCAAGACTTTTTACTATTCCTTCTTCAGTATCAAATTTTATTTACTTGGGAAAGCCTTCCATGGGCATCCAGGGTTAAGTCCCTCACCCCTTACCTCTTTCCTATACCTTTGCATAGCCCCTTCTATTTCGTTTACAATAGTTATTACACTTTGTTGAAATTATCTGTCTCTCCTGCTGCAAACTGTTATAGTAAAAACAGTATGTCTCCGGTATTTTTTCCTGGCACAGTGATACAGTGGATGTCCAGTAAATAAAGTTTAGTGGATAAAGTGTGAATGTCTAAGCACTACTTATTTTCCTGTTAGGTCCGAGCTGAGATTGCCAGCAAAGAGAAGGAGGAAGAGGAACTGATGGAGAAGCCCCAGAAGGAAACCAAGTAAGTAAATACAGTAGTACCTCAGTTTATAAACACTTTTGTTTGCAAAGTCTGCATCAGGTGACAAATACAACTGCAGCCATCTTTCCCACACAAATACAAATGTGCCCATCTTTTCCAAAATTGTAAAACAAATTAAGTTCATGAACTGAGGTACCACTGTATCAGGGAATGTTTGAAAGTTTAGAAAGCTGGGGCCTAAAGTAGGAACAAAATTATTAAAAAATACTGATGATGGTGTTTGTCTTTTCAGAAAAGATGAGGATCCTGAAAACAAAATTGAATTTAAAACACGTCTGGGTGAGTAATTTCTACACTAGTAACTGCATTCTAGGTGAATTGTAGGGAATTTAATGCTGTCATCAGGATATGTTTCTTCTTTCTCTTGGCCTCTTTTCTTCTTTTTGTCCCCCAAACAAGCTAGTTCCCATAAGATGTAATAGCACCCAAACATAGGGGCTGTGGATGTAACTCAGTAGTGGAGGATTTGCCTAGCATGTGGAAAGCCATGGATTTGATCCCCAGTACTGTGGGGGAAAAACCCAACTTGGATTTAATTAGTTTGGAGCATATGCATTAAAGAAAGTAGCATCTTTAGTTAAAGCTCAGAATATAGAGTCAGAGAGACCTCGGTTTGAATCCTCACAGTGAAACCCTAGTAAGTAGGTGGATGATTTTAGCCAACTGACTTTGGTTTCTGTTTGTTCCTATATAAAAGTTGGTTTCATGTTAACTTCATGGGATTATTGTAGGGAAGAAAAGAAATGAAATATATAACATGCCTATAATATTGAGCATGTAGTATAGCTGTCTTTGTATTAGCATTAATAATATTTTAAACCCCACCCTTCATCCTCAGAGGGCATCATACAGTGCAGGCACAAAGAGTCCTTGAGAAGGCCTAGAAGAGTGGATGGGAGCCCAGGAATTTTTTTTTTTTAATAACAGCTTTATTGAACTGAAATTTGCATACTATACAATTTACAAAATTAAAGTGTATGATTTAGTGGATTTTAGCATGTTGACAATGTTGAACAACAGTGAGCACAATCAAGTTTAGATCATTTTTGTTATCGCTAAACAAAACACTTTACCCTGGGCTGGGGATTTAGCTCAGTGGTTCTAGCACCTGCCTTGCCAACTGCAAGGTCCCGAGTTCGATCCCCTGTACCAAAAACAAAACAAAACAAAACACTTTACCCACTTGGGTAGTGAAATGAAACACACTTGGTGAAAGGTTTGGATTTTGCTCTACTTTAGAAGGTGAGGCCTTCTAGCTATCATCTCTCAATCCATCTCTCCTAAATTTAGGCAACCACTGAGCCATTCTCTATCTTCATACATTTTCCTATTCTGGAAATTTATTTATTTTTATTCAAAATAGGTCATGCTTATAGCAACATTAAAGACTTTAACATATCCAAAGAAATAGAAATCCGGCAAAGTGAGCTCTCACACTGTGTTGGAAATAAGTCAGAAACCAAAAGCAGAAGCATACTTAGACTACAATAACTTTTTTGTGTGTTTTTTTCTTCTCTTATTTCTTATTATTTGTCTCTTATTTCATACTTTATATATTAAGTTTTTCATATAAGGGAGATCATGTGATGTCCAAGCTTGTGTGTTTGATTTATTTTAGCAAGCCCAGGCTTTGGATTGGACTGTGTGGGTCCCAGTTTTTGCTCTTGTTTTTTGTTTTTTTGTTTTTTTTGTGTTTTTTGGTACCAGGGATCGAACTTGGGTGCTTGCACTTGTGCAACAGGCTGCAAAACCACTGAGCTAAATCTCCAGCCCCCAGTTTTTGCTCTTATTTGGTAGCTGTGTGACTTTAGGTAAATCACTTCTCAGCTTAATATCTTAGTAGCAACATGGAGATAATAATGCCCTCTCACAGGGCTATTGTGAAGATTGAATGAAGCAAATCATGCATAGCATTTGGCATGGTGCCTGATGCAGAGTACACACCTAATAAATGACCACTGTTTTTTTGCCCCGTACCTGGGATCGAACTCAGGACCTTGCACTTTTGAGGCCGGTGCAGGACCACTGAGCTCGTTTTTTGGGGTTTTTTTGAGACAGGGTCTCACTATGTAGTTCAGACTGGCCTTGAACTCACTATGTATTCCAGGCTGACCTTAAATGCATGGTGATCCTGCCTCAGCCTCCCAAGTGCTGGGATGTGCCACTATGCCCGGCCTTGCCCACTATTATTATAGAAGGTTCTCATTGACTAATAACTACTCTTTCCCTTTGTGTAGGCCGCAATGTTTACCGTATGCTTTTTAAGAGCAAAGCATATGAGCGGAATGAGCTGTTCCTGCCAGGTCGCATGGCCTATGTGGTAGACCTGGATGATGAGTATGCGGACACAGACATCCCCACCACTCTTATCCGGAGCAAGGCTGATTGTCCCACCATGGAGGTGAATAACAGAGTTCTGAAAGCCTGTCACATAATCTTCAAACCTGGGAATCAGCGTTGCCTCATCCTTCATATCACCATGTCCTTTTCATTTTTTTACCACCTAAGTCTCAACTGAATCCATTCACTTTTCTTCATCTTCATCAATAACATTGCGGTCTAAATCACAGTCTCTTGCTGGAACTATTCAGAGGCCCCTAATTGTTTTTACTATTCCTGCTTCCACTCTGGTTTGTATTCATTGAATCTTTTTTTGTTTGTTTTGGTTTTTTTGGTACTAGGGACCGAACTCAGGACTTTGTGCTTGCGAGGCAGGTGGTGGAACCACTGAGCTAAATCCCCAGCCCTCATGGAATCCTTTTATTGAGATATAATTCACATGCTATATAATTCATTTTCTTAAAGTATACAGTTCAACAATTTTTAGTATATTCATGTGATTTTGGGGTCAAGTCAATCAACTTTAGAATTTTTCTTTATCCCCCAAAGAAGCCTTGTACTAAGCCAGGCATGGTGGCATATACCTTAGTCCTAGTACTCTGGGAGGCTTAGGAAGGAGGATTGTAAGTGACCTGTCTCAAAATAAATAAAAAAGAGGGTGTTCAGTGCAAAGGTTCTGAGTTCAGTTCTCATTCCTGCAAGGCTCTCTAGTCATCCATTGCCCCGTTTCTCCATTTCACCTCCCACTGTGGCCTTTTCTGTGTTCTTTTTTTCATTTTTATTTTACTTTGTTTTTCTTTTTAAGCTGGCCTTGAGGTCACGGTGATCCTCCTGCCTCAGCCTCCTAAGTGTGGCACCATGTCTGGCTACTTTTTATTTTTATAATGCAAAATTTTTGTGTTATCACAAAAAGTTTAGAAGCTTTCTGTGGTTTCCTATTCCTAGGATAAAGAGCACAATCTTCACCATGGGCCTATGAGTCCCTGCAACATTTGGCCTTTCTAGCCCCATTTCATCATGCTTCCCTGTTGTTTGTTCTCCAGTCATCCTGGCTTTCTTGAATGTTTGGAATTCACTTTGACCCAGGACCTTAATGCATGCTGTTTTCTCTGTCTGGAATGTCCTTCCATAAAACCTCCATTCGCTGCTTTCACCTGGTTAACTAACTCCTCCCTCAATTTGTTAAGTAAGTAAATGAGTAAAGGTAGACGTTCCTGTTCAGTGTGATAACATTCTTGTTTCTTGGGATTTTTCAGGCCCAGACTACACTGACCACAAATGACATTGTCATCAGCAAGCTCACTCAGATCCTTTCATACCTGAGGCAGGGGACCCGAAACAAGAAACTCAAAAAGAAGGATAAAGGTACCTTTAGACAAACTTACCCCCTAGGGGATGGCATCTGAAGACGGAACCAAGGTCTCCTGGAGCTTTCTGCCTCTGGTACATTGGGAGGCTAGCAGGGAGCAGAGAAAAATGGCAGCAATGGAGCACTGGCAAGATGAGTATATCCAGGTTCTGTCTGCTTGATCCACCCTGAAAACAGTAGTCAGGAAGAGGGAGAGAGAGTATTGTTCTACATTCCAACATTTTAAACAAAAGAGGTTAAAAAGGGCATTGAGAGTTCAAGTGGGTAGTGTAGCTGAATGGGAATTAACTTCAGAGTGTGTTCCTGACTTTTTTTCCTTTTACCTGAGTACTTTCTTTATATTGCAGGGAAGCTGGAAGAGAAGAAACCTCCTGAGGCTGACATGAAGTATGTGTCCCAGCCTCAGGCACCTGGTCTGAGGGAAGGGTTGTTTCTTGTTGGCTCCTTACAGAGGTGTTGGTATGAGAATCTGTAAAAGTGGCCAGGGTGAGTAGAAATGTATGTGACTTTGGCATCTACTGATCTCTTTTTTTCCCAGCATTTTTGAAGACATTGGGGATTATGTTCCCTCCACAACCAAGACACCTCGGGACAAGGAGCGGGAGAGATACCGGGAACGGGAGCGTGATCGGGAGAGAGACAGAGACCGGGACCGAGAGCGGGAACGAGAACGGGAGCGGGAGCGGGAGCAGGACCGAGAGAGAGAGGAGGAAAAGAAAAGGCACAGCTACTTTGAAAAGCCTAAAGTGGATGATGAGGTGAGATGTGGGCCCTTGGCACCAGGTAGTGGAGCTACCTCTCTTTGCCAGGCTGGGTCTGGGATCTTCCTGATATATAGTTGTCTTGTGGCTTCATAGTAGCAGCTGGGCCAACTAACTGAGGGTTGGAATCATCCTGGTCATGGGGAAGGTGGATGAGGAATTGATTCAGACTTGGGAGAGGGATGAGTGGGAATCTCATGGTGATACTTATCTCTGTTTTCGTTTGCTTTCCAGCCCATGGATGTTGACAAAGGTGGGTTGTATCCAAAGTAAACCTGGGCTGAGAGTCTGACTTAATACATAAAGCTGGCAAAGGTGGATTGGGGAACTCCTGAGTTTGGGCTCCATAATAAACATATTTTACTTTATGTAATAGGCAGAATGAATCTGGAGTTCCCCCACCTTGCTGGGCAGTGGTGGGTTATATGTGCTCTTAGATAATTTTTCAAGCACTGAGGTTTTGAGGGGGTGGCAGGTGTTGAATGTTAGTGTTCTGGTTACTCTGCTGCCCTCTTAATCAGGGTAACTCATTATTAATCTGGAATTTGGTTAAAATTTTATTAGATAAAAGGGGTTTATAAAGATAAAAAGGATTTAATGAAGCCACAAATTGAAATTTGTTGTGGGGAGGAGGTTCAGAATATTAGTTCAAACTTAACCAGACTTCTCTGTCTACTCAGGACCTGGATCTGCCAAGGAATTAATCAAGTCCATCAATGAAAAGTTTGCTGGGTCTGCTGGCTGGGAGGGCACTGAATCATATCCTTTATTTAAACATGCTCCTGAGTTATAGAGAGGTTTTCTCTTTTTATTCCAACTCTCCCTGTCTTCTAGCTTCCTCCTACCCCTACCTGCACCTTCCCTTTTGTGCTAGATTTTGAAAGGGATAAAACGATGCCTTGCCTCTTTCCCAGAGGATTCATTCAAGCTCACAGCTTGCTGTTGAAGTATTTCATGTTGAGGTCTCTACTCCTGGAATCTCTGCCTGAAGCTTTCCTGTAAGAGATGAAATTTTGTCTAATATTTTCTTTAACTAGCATATGCTGAAGAAGCCAGAAGACAAAAAGCAGCTGGGTGATTTCTTTGGCATGTCCAACAGTTATGCAGAGTGCTATCCAGCCACGTATGTAGGATCCTGTTAGGGAGGGTGGGATGACTGGGCAACATGTTGAGTGAGGTGGAAAATTGACCTGTGGGGACACATGGGTACTTCTTACTTGGATTAACTCTTCTGTTAGGTTCTGAATGGGAAGTCAAGAGGGGTGGTCATTCCTAATGTTTGGATTTCTGCATGCAGCCTAGTGATCTGGGTCTACAGTATCTTTTCAACTGCTCTTTTTCTTTAGGATGGATGACATGGCTGTGGATAGTGATGAGGAGGTGGATTATAGCAAAATGGACCAGGTATGGCATTAGGAGGATGCTTTGGATCTTTGGGCAGTTATTCTAGCATATCTCTTTCTCTGTTCCCCCCAAATCTGTCTCACTTCCTGATTCCTACTCCTGCTGTAGCAATAAAACTAGTAGCATTGTAGGTCATGTTTTAGAGTCTCTATACAAGATCAAGTAAGGTAGGGCCAAAATCTATATTCATTTCCTACAACAAAAATGAAGGGCCAGGGATTTAGCTCAGTGGTTCCTCCGCCTGCCTCGCAAGCACAAGGACCCGAGTTCGATCCCCGGTACCAAAAAAAAATGAGTATCAGGGTTTGATTCCCATCTTTGGCAGTAAGTAAGCATTAATACATAAGTGCAAAGGTTAGAAGGAATTGCAGTCTTTAGAAAATATCTAGATTTCTAAACATGATTCATGTTTTCCTCTGTCTTAAAATTCTTTTTTTTTTTCTTTTTTGGTACCGAGGATCGAACTCAGGACCTTGCGCTTACAAGGCAGGCCATGGAACCACTGAGCTAAATCCCTGTCGTAAACAAAATTATCAAATGTTAACTATTTTTGAAAATTTTGCTTAAGACAGAGGAAAGTGTCAATCTTGGCTAGAATAAGTTCCAGCTATTTTCTAAAGACTGCAATGCCTTCTATCCTTTCCACTAAGGAAATGGGAGGGAGGAATAGTAAAAAAAGGTTTATAAAAAGAGAGAATTGAAGAAAAAAATGGAAATAGAGCTTCTGTAAGTGGAAAGGGGAATAAGAGTTGGAGCAGAGATAGGAGAGGAAAGGAACAAAAAAAAAGAATGAAGATGTGTTATGTACATGTACAAACTCCCCACGATAAATGTAATCATGTATTACACAAACTAATACAAATAATAATGAAAACAAATCCACCATTAATTATGAAGAAATTTCATCTTTCCCTTGTTCTCAGTGTACTGCAATGTTGGGAGCATGGTTTAGGTTTGAGCCTTGTTTAATCCTTCTGCTATTAATTAGTTTGGTGACTCTTTTTTCACTCAGTATTGGGACTGAATGCAGGGCCTTGTGCATACTAGGCAAGCTCTCTTGACTTACCTCCCCAGCTCTTTTTTAAATTGTATTTTTTAACAGGCTCACAAATTTGGCCAGAGTGGCCTCAAACTAGGCAATCCTTTTTGCTATACCCTCCTGAGTAGTTTGGATTACAGGTGTGTGTCACCATGCTGGACTCCTTGCCATGTTCTTTTACTGTTTAAAACTGCCTTGGTTTTCTTCATCAGGAAAAGAAATATAATTTCCTCTTCACAGGTTTTTGTGAGAATTAATACGTTTTCAGTGTTCAGAATAATGTCTGGCACTTAGTAAATTTATAGGAAATATTATTTATTGGGTAGGATTTATTAATGGTTTAACTTGAGTTTGTGGAAGAATCTGGCTTTAATGAAGGTAAATTTCCTTTTCTACCAACATGTCTTCTTTTCCCATCCACTTATTCTGTCCTGCCACAGGGTAACAAGAAGGGCCCCTTAGGCCGGTGGGACTTTGATACCCAGGAGGAATACAGCGAGTATATGAACAACAAGGAGGCTTTGCCCAAGTGAGTTGGTACTAAATATGGGGGGGGGGGGTTGCCGTGAATAAGAGTTTGGCAGTTGGTTAGATTAGCTCATACTGGTTAGACAACATAGTCCAGAACAGGTATGTTGCTTGGAGACCCCTCTGGGAAAACCTTGCTACTACTATGCAACTCCTGATACCTTCTTCACAAATGGCCCTTTTCAGGGCTGCATTCCAATATGGTATCAAGATGTCTGAAGGACGAAAAACCAGGCGCTTCAAGGAAACCAATGACAAGGCAGAACTTGATCGCCAGTGGAAGAAGATTAGTGCAGTAAGTGGGACACTGTCTCAGGTGGGAGGGTTTTACCTGGGAGGGGTCACTGACCCACAGATTCAGGAACATTCAGGGAGTTGGAGGGCCACGGAAGTGAGAGAGAAGCATTAGGACTCAGGTGAGCTTAGATTAGCAATATGACTGTAGACTATCACGGGTTATTTTGCAGATCATTGAGAAGAGAAAGAAGATGGAAGCTGATGGGTGAGCAGCATTATTCTTTTGTGGGACTCACTGGAATTGTTTAGTGCATTGATCTTATGCTGACTCATTTCTTCTTCCATTGCAGGGTTGAAGTGAAAAGACCGAAATACTAATCTCCAGTTCCTACTGGAGAATCTCCACATGGATGTTCTTTCTACTACTTTCTTCCTGCAATTCCTAGTAAGGTTGCAGTGTGGTTTTTTTTCCCTGAATGTATATAAAATTTTATTGTATAATCATTTGGTTCCATTAAAATTGATTAACCTGCTGTCTTCTCTGTGTTAAGCATACCCATCAAGGGTCCCTAGAGCACCAGGAGGCCAGTTCCACTGTTGTATGACCATTTCCCAACGGGCTATAATTTGTATGTCTCACTGCTGGGAGGCTCTGAACCACCAGTGGTACATGCATACCACTCACTGGTGGTACATATACAACTGTCCCATTGGGTTGGCCTGGAACAGTTCCATTGGGTGGTACAGGCCACCTGATGGGACAGTTTTGTATGTACCACCAGTATTTCAAATCAGCAGAAACACATTAAATCACATACAAAGTTGGGTGTGGTGGTGCACACCTATATTTAAAAAAATTTTGAGACAGTCTTGCTATGTAGTTCATGCTGGCCTTGAACTTGTGTGGATCCTCCTGTCGGTCTCCCAAGTGGTGGGATCACAGGCATGTACCACCATACCTTTTTTTCTTTCTTTTTTTTTTTTGGTGCTGGGGATTGAACTTGGGTCCTTCTGCTTGCGGGGCAGGTGGCAGAACCACTGAGCTAAAATCCCAGGCCCACACCATACCCTTTTTTTTTTTTTTGGTACCAGGAATCAAACTTGGGTCCTTGCACTTGCACAGCAGACGGCGAAACCACTGAGCCAAATCCCCAGCCCACCATACCCTTTTTGGTGCACACATTTAACCCAGCAATCTGGGAGGCTGAGGCAGGAGGCTCAAAAGTTTGAGCTGAGGGCTGGGGATTTAGCTCAGTTGGCAGCACGCCTGCCTTGAAAGCACAGAGTCCTGTGATGATCCCCAGTGCCAAAAAAAAAATGTTTGAGCTGAGCCTGGGCAAGTTAGCAACTTAGCGAGACCCTGTCTCAAAAGAAAAAATGCTGGAGATGTAGCTCAGTGTGAAGGCCCTGGGGTCAGTTAAATCTGCAGTGTTGAAAAAAATCACATACAGAAACTCATACTAGTCTCCTGAACTGTGATTGTAAATTCATAGACAGGATGTTTACTAGCCAGTTCCAGTTAGGAAAAAGGTCACAGAGACATGGCTCATAAATACATGAAGTGTCAGTACAAACAAACCCAGAGCTTCCAGTTTAAAATTCAGTTTCTGCAAGTACCATCATGTCTCATAGAACTGATCAGAGTGCTTTGGTTGGCTACACGTTTGATGGGTGACAAGAATTCTCAGAACCACATACTCTAGTGACTTTGTTCCAGTCATTAGCAAATGGGACGGACATAATGCCTTTTCAAAGTCCCTAAGCCTCACTTGTTTCACCTCTCCAAAGTTGGGCATCAACATATAAAATGTCTTAGCCAGCATTCTGGCAAGCTGAGGTAGAAGGATTACAAGTTTGAGCCCAGCCTGGGCAATTTGGTGACTTGGTAAGAGCTTGTTTCAAAAAACCAAAACGGGCCGGGGATTTAGCTCAGTGGTTCCGCCGCCTGCCTCGAAAGCTCAAGGACCCGAGTTCAATCCCTGGTACCAAAAAAACAACAAAAAACCAAAACAAAGTACTCTCCAAAACAAAAAAGACTCAGAAGGCTTAGTACTACAGAGATATGAGCAGGTTCCTTTTGGCCACAAGGGAACCTGCCTCTGCAGCACCGTGCAGTGTTCCCACCATTGAGGCTTTTGACAGCAGGGATGTCCAGAACATCTGCTGCCATGCCCATTTTGCTTTTCAGCTTGGTAGCCTTGAGCACTGGCGGTCTGGCCACCGAGGGGCTGGAATCAAACTATAGGAAAATTGAGAGCATTCATTTGACCACGATAATGTTGGGCAATGACTACTTCAGTGTGTGTGCAGGATGCATTCTGTCCTTCTGTCCGTGGCCTCCATTGGTCATCTTTACATGACTTTTGCTTTGTGGGTTTTTTGTTCTTCAATTTTTTTCTCCCAGTACCGGCAATTGAATTCAGGACCTTGCGCTTGCCAGGCAGGCGACTGTGGCTTTTTTGCTGCTGCTGCTTGAGAGCCCTGGCCGCAAACCTTGCCATGGTTTGAATTTACCAAGCATCCCACTCTCCTATACTGATGGGGATAAGTCCTCCTGGTTGCTGAGGGAGAACTTCAGCTGTCAGGATACGCCAAGATGAAGGGAATAAAACTTAACGCAGTTGTCAACTTCGTGAAAGACTACTACTAGTCAACTGTGTGTTTAGGGAGGGAGGCCTCTCAGAACTCCGGCCGCTCCTCCCACAACCTGGACGACCACCCTCAGCCTCTGACGTACGTCTCTGACGCACTTCCGTCCCCGCCCACACACGGGAGCCGTGTCGTGGGCCTCAACCGCGGCCTTGTAGTTGGTTCTTGTGCTGGCGCGGGTTTGGCCCTCGGTTCGGAATCCTTCCGGACATGGATAGCACGTGTGAGGAGGGGCCAGCGAACGTTGGGAGCGACGAGGAGGACTCTGACTCCACTGAAGCCCCAGCCCGGATCCGGGACACACCGGAAGACATTGTGCTGGAAGCACCGGCCAGTGGGCTGGCGTTCCACCCAACCCGCGACCTGCTGGCGGCGGGGGACGTGGATGGGGATGTGTTCGTGTGAGTGAGGGCCATGTCGAGGGGCATATCGAGGGGCGTGGTAGAGGTGGGGAGCCTCTTTTGGAAGCTCCCCAGGGATGAAACTGGGACGAGGATGGAGTGAATGTTGCCAGGAGACAAATTTTTCTTTCTTTCTTTCTTTTCTTTCTTTCTTTTTTTTTTTTTTGGTACCGGGGATCGAACTCGGGACCTTGTGCTTTCGAGGCAGGCGGCGGAACCACTGAGCTAAATCCCTGGCCCCAGGAGACAAATTTTGCAGGACTCATCGGGTCTTATTCTTTAAATGTTCAACTTTGAACAAGTTATCCACAAAGCTGAATCCCAGCAGTTTGGAGGCAGGAGGACTGCCGCGATTTCGAGGCCAGCCTGAACTACATAGCGAGATTCTGTCTCCAACAAACAACCCAGAAATCAAACAACTGCATGATGGCCCAGAGACTGTATCGGGGAAAAAAGGCGCTGGAGGCCCAAAGTTCCCACTCATATTGAGCCTGAGACTGGCTCAACAGGCCCCTTGGTTTTGCCCTTTTAGTGGATCCTTTTAAAAAACACATGCCGGGCCGGGGATTTAGCTCAGTGGTTCCGCCGCCTGCCTCACAAGCAGAAGGACCCGAGTTCGATCCCCGGTACCAAAAAAAAAACAAACCCACGCACATGTCATCCCGTCACTCCCTTGGTTAAAACCGTTCAATGCTCTGGTTTTAGGATTTTAAACAAACTTCATTTGGTTTTCAAGGCCTTCTCCATCTAGCTCTTACCTGTTCTTCCTTTTTGCATTTTGTGCTCATTCGTATTTAATCATACATATATATTTGCCATTTAGCCTTATTTTGACTGACTATGAACAGGCTGCGTTTTGTTAGTTTTCTCTTTAGAACCCATGGCAGACTAGTAGAGCACTGGTCACCTGGTTTGGAGTGGTCTGGATGGAGTGGGGACCATCCCCACCTTACCTGAGCCTGAGGGCGCTCTGGTTTTGATGAACATAACTCGAGGTGGAAATTGGCCCCAGTGCCCCACCTAACACAGTGCCACCTGTGAAGCCCACGCTTTCTCCCCCGTATTGGTAGTGCTGGGGAGAGGCTCGTTGGGAATGTAAAGTGGTGACCTGTTTGAGGGCCTGGCCAGCGGGGAAGCCTGTGGGGCCCCAGACACACCCCACAAGGGACAGCCCCCGGGAGAGTCGGTGCCAGAGGCAGGCTCGGGTCTTGGTGTGTTGGGCAGAGCCGCCCTGAGCCCACTGATGCAACTGGGCAGAACCGAGCTGGTGCCGGCGCAGCGCTGCCTGTTGATTTGCTGCCTGTGTAGGAAGCTCCCCACCCTCTGCTGGACTCTTTCTCACCCCTCCTCCCCTTCCTCTATCCCACATATGCAATGACTTTAATTTTCACTTTTGTAGTCTAATTCTTTGTATTACAACATGAAATATAATTGCATATACGGACCAGACTTGTTTTACTCACAAATAAAATTTTAAGCAGTTAAAAAATACATACATTTTATATATATATATATATGAATTTTTTTTTTTTGGTACAGGGGATTGAACTTGGGTCCTTGCACTTGGAAGGCAGGCGGTGGAACGACTGAGCTAAATCCCCGGAGATATATATATATATATACATGTATATGTCTCCATATGTAGTTCAGGCTGGCCGTGAACTCACAGGGATCCTCCTGCCTCAGCAGTGTTGGGATTACAGATTTGCACCACTATGCTAGGATTTTTTCAAACTTTTTGGCCTTGCCCCACAATAAAAATAGCATTTTAATGCTATTTATACATAATAATGTACAATGATAATTTCTGGTTTACTCAGTTGTTATTGCAAGCACACAAAATGCTGATTGCAGCTTACTATGGATTATGATTGGAATTTGAAAAACACTGTCCTGGAGTGTAATCTGTAATGTTTTGTTCTCCATTTTACTTCCTGCTTCTAGTTCAGGGTAGGTGCTCAATGCAGGCTTAAACACAAAATATGGGGTGGAAGCATTGGAAAGCTACTGAGGGTTTATAACCAGGAGAGTTGTGCTGTGAAATTTACATAATTAATTAAAATGTCAACCCATTAGTGGTCATGGCTTTGGTAGGTTAACTTCTGTACTTTCATTTCTGAAAATGGGAATAACACCCACCTTGCAGAGAGAGCACTGTTAGTACAGCCCTTGAGCAGTTCAACACATGTAGGTTGTTTTTTTTACTATTCTACCCATATTTAGAGTGGCTGATTGTTGGGAGATTTGTGCCCTACATCTCCACTTTTCTTCCCACTCCCCAAAACTTCATTTACTCAGTTTATCATCAAATTCTGTCTCATAAATGGTTCAGGGAGAACAACCTTTGGCTCTCTCCCTCCCCATTCTTCACCCTCAGCTATGGCCTTCTGTTGGTACTGACTCTGCATGACTATTCTCAAGAGGTTCTATCTAAGATTAAAGCCAGACTTTTATTGTAGAAGGGACATTTATGTCTGCCTCCACCCTGCTCTGTTCTCTGCCAAATGAACTCACTTTTATGGCCCTGCTGACATGTTGTCACCTTAGTAGCTTTCCAGGGACCTCATTTTTGTTTTGGGGATCAACCCATGGCCTTACACATGCTTGACATATATTCCACCTCTGAGCTAGTCCCAATCCCCTGGGTCTCATCTCCCTTCTCAAATATTAATTGTTTGCGACTATTAAGCCATTTCTTCAGGCTAGACCCTGAGATACAGAAGACAATTAGCAGACCGTGTTCTTTCCACATGGAACTTAACTGGCAATTAAGTATGCATTTGGCCCAGTTAGAGAATCTGCTGTGGAATATTCCCTGGACAGGTGCTTGCTTCAAAGTTGAGTTTACAGCTGGTGCCTCTCTAGTCTACCTCCATTTTGGTCTTTTTTGTTTTTTTTTTGATACCAGGAATCCAACTCAGGGCCTCTTGCTTGCCAGACAGATGTGGCAACACTGAGCTACCTCCCCGGCTTTTTTTTTTTTGGTACCAGGGATCAAACTCCGCCCAGCTTTTTTTTTTTTTTAGATAGGGTCTCACTTTAGTGCAGCTGGCCTCAAACTCAGTGATCCTCCTGCCTCAGCCTCCCAAGTGCTGGGATTACAGGTGTGTACCACCATGCCTGGCATTTGTCAGTATTTTGATAATGGTCATAATGTGCTATAATTAATTGTGGCTTCTTCTAGCTCCTAGCGCTTGGAGCGCACAACTTAATTTACTTCCAGCTTCTGGGGCTGGTCTTCTGTTATTGGTTTAACAAGTATTTTTGGGCCTCCACAGTGGTTTGGACTTTTTCCCTAGGCTGGGGTTTTCAAGGATGGTGAAGGTAGGGGTAGGGTTCGGTCACAAAAGTCCTGTGTAAATGTACCTAGAATTAATATGCATTGAAACAAGACCTACCATTTGAAGCTTACTGAAAATTGGTAAAGAGGATGGTAAGCTCTTTGGACTTGAATGTGAATAAGCAGTAACTCCTAGGTAGGTGGGAAGATTGGTCTGCCTAGTTGGCCTCCACATGCCATGCATCCCAGGTATGGACTGGGATCATTACCCTTTCTTTTCTTCTCTCAGCTTTTCCTATTCTTGCAAAGAGGGAGAAACTAAGGAACTCTGGTCCTCAGGTCACCACCTCAAGGCTTGCCGAGCTGTGGTCTTTTCTGAAGATGGGCAGAGTGAGTAATGGGGAAAGCAGCCAGCAGTGTGATGGTGGGAGAGTGCAGCAAGCAAAGTAAGCAGTACTGACCTAGGCACCCTTTTCCACAGAACTTGTTACTGTTTCCAAGGATAAAGCCATCCATGTGCTAGATGTGGAGCAGGGCCGATTAGAAAGACGTATTTCCAAGGCTCATAGGTAAGGGCTGTCAATTTTGTATGTGTGTGGGAGAAGTAAGGATTAGGAAAGGAGGTCCCCACTAGGACAAAGATACTTAAAGAAGTTCTGCACATATGTCTCTCCAGTGCCCCCATCAATAGTCTGCTGCTGGTGGATGAGAATGTTCTGGCTACTGGGGATGACACAGGTGGTGTCCGGCTCTGGGACCAGCGGAAGGAGGGTCCCTTAATGGACATGCGGCAGCATGAGGAATACATAGCAGACATGGCTCTGGATCCAGCCAAGAAGCTGCTGCTGACAGCCAGGTACAACCTCAAAGCTGCCTCCCCATCTTTTCCCTCAGTAGTCTTTCTTCAAGCAACTTTCACCTAAGCCTGCTGCATTGTTCTCTACAGTGGTGATGGCTGCCTTGGTGTCTTCAACATCAAAAGACGCCGGTTTGAGCTACTCTCAGAGCCTCAGTCTGGGGACCTGACCTCTGTCACCCTCATGAAAGTATAGCTGGGTATGATGGGATGGGGTGCACATGCTAGGGGCTTGGTCTGAGGTGGCTGCACAGACATAATTTTCCCTTTTCCCCTGCAGTGTGGGAAAAAGGTGGCCTGTGGATCTAGTGAAGGTACCATCTACCTCTTTAACTGGAATGGTTTTGGGGCCACAAGTGACCGATTTGCCCTGAGAGCTGAGTCTATTGACTGCATGGTTCCAGTCACTGAGAGTCTGCTGTGCACTGGGTCCACCGATGGAATCATCAGGTAAAGGAAGCCACAATAGCTTCAGAGCCATTGAGCACTTGGGGGTGGAGGGTAGGAAAGCTTCTGAAGGAAGCTGGGCAACTCTGGCTAGCAAGTATCCTAACACTGTTCTTCCCCTGCCCAGGGCTGTGAATATCTTGCCGAACCGAGTAGTGGGCATTGTAGGCCAGCATCCTGCAGAGCCTGTGGAGGAGCTGGCTCTTTCCCACTGTGGCCTCTTCCTGGCCAGTAGTGGCCATGACCAGCACCTCAAGTTTTGGGACATGGCCCAGCTCCGAACTGTGGTGGTAGATGACTACCGTCGACGCAAGAAAAAAGGAGGGCCACTGCGTTCCCTGAGCAACAAGGCCTGGAGCACTGATGACTTCTTTGCAGGGCTGAGGGAAGGAGAGGATTCTAAGGCTACAGAAGAGGCGGAGGAGAGTGAGGATGACAGTGACTGAAGGGATGAGCAGGATCTGTTGGGTCAGAAATTCTCATTGAGCATGAGCCTTGCTTCCTAAAATGAATTCCTAAAGAGGATAGGAAATTTTTTAACATGCTCATGAGCTGTACTCGACCCCAAGATATGACTGTATAACAACACTTGTGTAAGAAGTTGCACAGAGGATCAGAACTCTAATGAAGAGGGGAAGAATGTGCCCTGGAGTAGCTGCTCAATCTGCCAGTGTAAGACAAACCCTGAGTGTGTGATAAGACAGCACAGACATGTGTATACTAACTAGGAGTTTAATATAAATACAACCAGCATAGAAAAACTCAAAACCATATATAAACCAAAATCAGAATGACAACTGGTGGGGTGGAAGGGCAAAATTTGACCCTTTGGCTCAGCTAGTCCCCTAAATAAAAACAGATTCATGCTAAGCTTGGGGATGAGGGAGAGGGGCGACATGTGTTACACGGTGAACAGCCAAGAAGAAACACAGGAGTCAGAGGTTAGAGCCTGGGTTCAGGAGGGTAGGGCAAGGTTCCTCACCAGAATTTAAGCCTAATCTGAGCAGCCCTCAGGTGTTACTTGGGCCCTGCCCCAGTAGTGGTTCTGTCTCAGACCTGGGGCAGGGCCTGTGCCCCTCTCCTCCTTTAGGAATCAGTTGGCTGCTGCCCAGGCCTGCTGGGCGGAGGGCTGACACAGGCCTTGCCTATGGTTCAGGCTGCCTGCAGAGAGAGGAAGGGGTCACTGCCTAATGGTAGTACCTGCCTCAGCCCCAGAGGACCACAAGATACTGGCTCCAGACTCACTTAGTACCTCCAGCAGCCGTACAGACACAGCATCCTTGGCCACCTCATGCCCATCCTGCCTATCTGTGGCCAGCATGACCCAGATAAGGCCGCTGAAAGGCACTGGATGCCCAGGGATCACTACCTGGTACCAGAAGTGGTGCCAGCCGGCAGGTCCTGTGCCCAGACACTTGGTGAGGAATACTGGGCTGCCCAGCTTCATTCGATGGCAGAGTAGCTGCAGGGCAGCCCGAGCCCCTTGGTACCCTAGTTTGTCCCTGGCCAGGACCAATTGGCTGCCACCTGGCTGAAGGCAACGAAGAGAGGGACCCATAAGCTGCTGGCGGAGCTGCTGCTTTAGGTCTGGCTTGAGCCACTCCACAGTCACCTGTTCTCCACAGAGGCGTGACTGACCTGCAGGAAAAAGGCAAGAGACAAGGGCACTTCTGAGCTCTGGGCATATGCCCCCAAACTGTGTGAGCCCTTGGGAGTAGACAGACTGTTTAAGGCCTAGCCTCCCCATTTCTGGGTAGTATCAGACCCAAGTTAATAGTCTTGTCCTTATCTGTAAGGGAGGTATAATAAAACTGGCTTTTATGTTTCCTTGAAGGAGTACTATTTGATGCAGGTTTTATCTACCTCATAACCATCACAATAGCCAACCTTTTTGGTCAGTACTAGCTAAGAATCAGGAAATGTGTTAAGTACCATATACCCATTGTTACTTAATTCTCACAACAGTCTGAAAAGGCAGGTTTCTAGACAAGGCTCAGTGGGACCCCCTCGGGCAAGTCAATTTTTCCACTGGAATGTTGAGGATGAAGTCTTGAGATAATGCCCTGGGAGTGCTGAGTTTAGGTAAGGGTTACCTGTAGCGTAACTGCCAAGTGGAAAAAAACCATGCTTGCTTGACCCTAAGATTGTAAGACTAACCACGCTGTGAGAGATGCTTAAGTGTTTGGCTGCAACCAACCACCCCCACCCTCACCTCCACCCCCACCCCCATCCCCACCCCCACCTCTACCTTCTACAAGGGCCTTTTTGGCCATGGCGGCGGCGCGGTGCGAGCTGAACTTGAGCAGAGCTATCTGCGCGGGCGCCGGGCCCGGACTGGGCAGCAGCTGCGCCTCCTGCAGCCCCGGCCCCAGCGGCTGCAGCGCCAGCAGCAGTGTGTTGTGGTTCACACCCGGCGGCAGCCCGTCCACGCTCAGCTCGCACTTCTCAGTGCTGCGGCAGACGAGCAGCGGGCAGGACGGCCGCAGCGGGTGGTTGTGCAGCGTGGCGATAGCCGCCTGGGCTCCGCGCCTCGAGCTGTAGCGGGCGTAGGCGAAGCCGCGGTTCAGGCCGCTGAAGGTCATCATCAGGCGGAACTCGTAGAGGCGGCCCACGCGCTGGAAGAGTGGGATCAGCTGGTGCTCGTACACGTCCTGGGGCAGCCGTCCGATAAACACCTCGGAGCCGGCCGGCGGTGGACTGCCCACCCAGCCTGCAGAGGAGCGTGGGGAAGGCATTGTCATCCGCCGGACGCGGGTCTCACTTCCCAGCGGGGAAGGGGAGTGAGCGACCGTCCACCTAACGGGTACACCCGGGCCGCAGGGGAATGAGATGACCAAGCTAGCAACACGGCTGGCGCAAAGCAGGTGCACCTTGGGGCTGGCTTCCCCCTCCCGACCCCCGGGCAGAGTGTGGGGAACCCTAGCAAACTTCCCAATCTGCTGGGGTGTAAGTCCGGTCTGGCGCATCGGGTTGCACGCTGGGGCGGGGGCAGCCATACCTGGGGGTGGCCCGCCATACTTCCTCTGCCCGTTCACCTGCACCAGGCGGATGCCCGTCTCCCTGACCCACGCCTCCAGGGCCGCCTTGTTTTCTGGATTCACCCTCTCACACCATTGCTGAGGGAAAAGGCAAGTTGGAATTGCGCACTGCAGAGTCCCCAGCCCCGCGTAGCTTTAGAGTCCCTGTGGCAACCGCCTACGCAGGCCCAACGCCGAACTCCGAACTCCTCCGTCGTCACTTACCTCACATTCTCTTTTGGACTGCATGGCTGTGCCGCTGCCGCGCCGCCGGTAACCTCTTTATAAGTCGTCGCCCCCCACCCCCCACCAGCCTAGGCCTCTGGAAGCTTCTTTACCCTCTGCCCCCAAGTGCTCATTGGCTCTGAGCACGCTCCCGCCTGCCGGGGGTGGAGCTGCACGTGCGCCCCGCCCTTGGACCCTCAGGACAACCACCTCCTGAGGAGGGGCTCAAAAAGCGGAGGGTGGACGTTGGAGGCAGGAATCGGGGAGCCCTTCACCCTAGGGTGTCTTCCCTTTTCCACCCAAGAAGTGATCTGAATGGGTGGCTCAGGCTCTGGTGGGGAAGACTGAGCGAGGCATCAGAGACACATATTCCAATGGTTGAGGCATTTTATTGGACCTTTGGCGACAGGTGTGGTGGGAAGACACCTGCTCCAACTGGAAGGGGGCCCTGCTGATGAGGCCATGTCAGGCCTGTCCAAGTAGCTCAGGAGGTGGACTGGCCTAATTCCCCATAGCTTTCTTTAGAAAGTGGTACAGTACCCGGCCATCTTTGCCAGTGATTACCACAATCATAATAAAAGTAATTGTTCTGACCACTCCTCAGGTCTTCTTACTGGAACAAAAGTGTGCAAAACTGTTTAAGCACAAATGCAGTTTTAGCCTCAAATAGTGCCAGTCCCACCTTCCTCTGAGAGTTTACGTGGCTCAGGAGATACAGAGGGGCTGGCTTGTTCTTCTTCTGATTTCCTCCACAAGATCTTCTCTTCGGACATCCACCTGGCCAGGATGAGGGAAGAAAGTGGTATGAACATCTTCCACTTCAGTGCTTGCTAGGTGCCTACTTCTAGTCATCAGATTTGGCTCAGCTGGGATCAGGACCCAATCAGACACCCCAAGAGACAGTGCCCACTGGCACAGCCGGAAAGACAAGAGGTAATATATATGTGAGGATTGGAGATCTTATCCTATACCACAAGCACAATAATAGATTAAGGCCTTAGGTCCTTTACAAGTTAGTACTTTACAAGTTAGGCTTTTGCTCAGGTCTCATATGGGCAGGGGTGTACCAATATAGCATACATTCCTTGTCCCCTAGCCTTCCTGCCTTTCCCCCTTACCTCTTCCCTGGTGGCCACTGAACGAAGCTTGATGACCCTGTCCTTGAGCTCCTGCTCGCCAATTATAGCCACCAGTGGGATGCCTGCCTCCTCACAATACTGCAACTGGTTCAGTAACTTTGGGTTCTTTTTGTACAGCAGCTCAGCCTACAAGGAACCAAAATACATTAAAAACTGGCTTCTACTATCTTCAAGGACAGCCTGGTGGGGGTCTAAGCGGCACTTTGCTACTAGCTCCACCCCAAGAAGTAATTACAAAAGGCACTATGGATGAACTATCAGTTTGTACCTAAACTCAAGTCTCCTGCCACTTTGGGGCTTGCCTCCTGTACCTTTATACCAGCATTCCACAGCTCTGAGACAAGCTTCAGTCTTTCTTCCAGTAGCTTTTTCTGTGCAGATGCCACAAGCACCTGTGTCTCTGTAGTCCGAACTTTCTCCTCTGAAGCCTAGTAAAGGAGCAAATAGGGATCAGAGAGCTGGGCCAACAACATCAAAGAGCAAACAGGAAAGGCCCTGGTCAGGATTCTAAGAGTCTAGGCCCAACTCAGTGAGCCCCACTAGGAGAAGAGCCAGTCTTCTCACTTAGTGTAGGGCATAAGGTAGCTTTTAAAAGATTTAAGAAATCAATTGACTTGGACATGACTTAACAGAATTCTAGGGCAAAGGCAAGGGGAGGTTATTTACATTCACTTCAAGCTCATCTCCATCCAGCAGGTTATGGGTCCAGAATAACATTCATATGGAAGGACCACCATGAGCCCTGGAAATCAAATCACCCCTGGCATTCTAGTCCCCACTTACTATCTACTCACCATTCATGAGACCATGCCTCTCATGGGGCTGACCTCAAGGTTGTGTGGATGGGGAGTAAGGGAGAATGCTGATGGCGCCCCTTGACTTTTATGCAAAAACTATTTTTAAAGTTCTTACAACTTAAAATGCCTCCTGGAACAATGATGTCAACTGAGAAACTTAGGTGGTGTCCACTCTAGAGATAAGGGACAGGAATATTGGGAAGGATGCCAGAACAACCCATGAGGATGAAATTCAACCAGCCCTTTAAGTGCAGTAGCAACACAGGAGGGCTTGAGACCACGATGTGCTTCCTTAGTGTTTCTCTAGGTGTTAACAGTCAAGGCAGCCATGAGGGATCCCAGGGCCTGACATATGCTTCCAACTGAGAGGCAATATTACAGAGTGGTTAGGAGCCAGATACTGCAGTTTACTACCTAGATTCAAATTCTGACTCTGCCACTGACAAATTTCATGACCATGAGCAGTAAAATGTTAAGTATTCTGTCATGAGGAAAATCTGGGTTATGAGACACAGCAGCCTAGATTCATGACTGCCCCAGGGAAAGTAGGATCCAGAGCAGAAGATCTTGTGGGGAAACAAAGGTCAAAGATCCACAAAAGCAGCCTATAATGGGATGAGACTGTAAGGCCAGTGATCATCTCTTCTCCATTTCTCTGAGATGCTGCTTACCCAAAGCAGCATCACTTGCTCCCTTGGAGATCAGAGACAGTTGGGGGAGTCACCACTTGCCCAGACTGTCCTGAAGACCTACCTCCAGTCTCTGCTCCACAATGGAGAAGATTCGCTCCACTCCAATGCTGAGCCCCACGCATGGCACCTTGCGCCCCTTGGGGTCAAACATGCCCACTAGCCCATCATAGCGCCCTCCAGCAGCCACACTGCCCACACCCAGGGGCTCTTCCCCTGCTTGGGCTGGAGTCTGTAGCAGCACAGCTTCATAGATCACCCCAGTGTAGTAGTCCAGACCTCGAGCAAGGCTCAGATCGAAGGAGATCTGTGGAGACAAGGACATGATCGGTATCAGATTAACACCAGGGACCTGAAGGCACAGAGGTCACCTGGGACTCGCATCTACAACTTGACTCACCTTATCAGCAATGCCAAACAAGGTCAGATACTCAAATAGCAGCTTCACATCTAACAGACCTTCCATGGCCTGCTTGTTTTGGGACAGTTTAGGATCCTGGAGCAGCTGTTCCACCAGGGACACTCCACCTGGGAAGATAGATTTGTGAGGCAGACCAACAAGAAAAAGGCAGTGGGGATTTATACTGTCACCTGGACTGCAAGTACACATGCACATGAATACACAAACACACAGTTTTGTTTTGTTTTTTTGGTATTGGGGATCAAACTCAGGTCCTTGCGCTTGCGGGGCAGGCGGCAGAACCAATGAGCTAAATCCTCAGCCCACAGAGTTTTAACATTAGGTCTATGAATAGTGGGTCGGCTGCTGGGGAGGGAGCTGGGTTCTGTTCCTCACCATGTTGCTGGACATAGTCCCCAATGTGGTCGGCCACCTCAGGTGCAAGGCCCTTCTCTCCCACCATTTCATTCTTCACATCCTCCCAGGACACCTGGGCAGACATATGACAGTCAAGAATTCTGGAGCAGGGCCAGGGATTTAGCTCAGTGGTTCTTGCACCTGCCTCGCAGGGCAGAGTTCGATCCCCGGTACCAAAAAAAAAAAAAGAATTCTGGAGCAGTTTCCTTGCCACAGAGCAAGTGTGGCCCCTCCTTGGGGAGCAGTCAGAGCAGAAGCTGCCCTTTAACCTACATCCTGGGGCTAACCTCTTCAGGTGGGGATGGAGGCAGGTGTCTCTCTCTTAATCTTCTTTTCCTTTTTTTTGGTACTGATGATTGAACTGATGGCCTTTGCACTGAGCTAACATGCCCAGACCTTTTTAAATGTTTGGTTTTTTTTGTGTTTTTTTTTGAGAGAGAATCCTATTAAGTCAACAAGTTGCCCAAAAGAGTTGCAACCTTCCTGCCTCAGCCTCCTAGAGCACTAGGATTGCAGGCATGTACAACCACACCTTTTTTTTTTTTTTTGAGATAAGGTGCTGCTATGTAGTTCAGACTGGCCTTGAACTCACTATGTAGCCCAGTCTGACCTCCAACTCGCCAATCCTCCTGCCTCAGCCTCCCAAGTGCTGGGATTATAGGCTTGTGCCACCATGCCCAGCTACCTACCTGTCTTGCTTTTTATTTCTCAAGGCAGGTTGGGATCTGGGAAAAGAAAAGTCAGGTATTTAGATAGTTACCTTGTCCAGCTTGTCCACTGAGGAACAGATGGTACGGAACTTGTTATCAGGAACACCACAGATGGCAAACATACCATCTAGGATGCGCCGGTCATTGACCTGTGAGGAGGACATGTCTTTTTTTTAATGTGACCCTCAATAGCCTTTGGTATCTGTCCCTCTGCCAGACCCAACTTTGCCCTCCCAGCCTTGTTCAGCTCTGACCTTGACCAGAAAGTCTCCTATCTGAAGTGAACTCAAGATCTCACACATGATCTTCAGGCACTCTGCATCTGGGATCATAGGGTCAAATTGCCCAGCAATGTCAAAATCCTGCAGGGAAAAGGGTAACCAGTTTTTTAGGGGTTCAGTGGCCTTAAGGGGGAACTTGAAAGCTCTGCTGTCTCTAAGAAGGCCTGTTTGCACACAAGCACAGACTTCCTCTTTCTTTTGCTGTCTGGCCATCAGCTGAAAGGAAAAGCCCAACATATTTGGGCCTCTCAACAAGTCCTGGTGTCTTTCTCTTCTACTGGGCTACTTTTCTCCATTATCTACTTCATCTTCTTCCCTGATTCCTCATACTGTGTAGGACAATTATCCACTGTTAATCCTTATTTTTTCTGTTCATCAGAAGTCCTCATTTCAGTCTTGATGAGTTGATATCTTAACACTAAATCTTCCTATCCTCTGCTATGATCCTATCACTAGTTTAATACAAAGAACAATGAACACAGATTGCCTGTCTTATCCCTATGATTCCATCATCTGTTGAATATTGAGTTACTTATATATAAAATGGAGAAAAATCCCTCTCTTCCCTACTCAACAATACCACTAATCTACATGAAAATACCACAGAAACCTGAAAGTATTTTCTGGAACATCCAGTTTGCTTAGAAAACCACAATACTCAATAGATTCCACTAGCTTGAGGCAGGGCTCAAGTTACCCATTCTCCTCCCCCGACCCCATTTTCCAAGACTCACACACTGGTAGAATTCCCGATAACGGCCGCGGGTCATGGCTGGGTTATCCCGTCGGTACACTTTTGCTATGTGGTACCGTTTAATGTTGGTCAGTTTATTCATTGCCAAATACCGAGCAAAAGGAACCTGATGACAGAGTTAAGGAGAAAGCCCCTCCTATTGCTGTTTTGAAGTTATCATCTCCCACAGATGCTGGAGTTTAACCTCTCCCCTTGTGGGTAAAACTACTACTGGTAAGATTAACAGCATTTCCTAGTATCAGAAAGAATCAACTGTGCTACTGTGCTACTACCACCAGGCAGCTGAAGTCTTAGACAGTGTCTCTCCCATGGACCATGTCAAGTATAGCAGGGGGTTGAGCAAACTGGACACAGCAGACAAAGGGCCTCAATGTGGGATAATTAAGCAGATGATTCTTTGTGTAGCTTGGAGATAAAGGGCAGGGCAGGGCAGGGAAGAAGTTTCCTATAACCAGGGAACTGCTGTACAGCTAGGAACTGGGCCCTGACATAAATTAAAGCTCAGGTCTCATTCAGGATTCACACTTCTAAGATATGGTTTGTTTAGCCAAGGTCCCCCGCTGGTGTAGAGATATAATTCCTCTAACTGTCAAAGGCTTTATATTTAGCTGATATATATATATATAATATATATATATATATATATATTTTTTGGTACCGGGGATCATACTCCAGACCTTCCGCGGAACCACTGAACTAAATCCCTGGCCCAAAGGCTTTATATTTAATCTTACCTATGTCTGCCTGTCACTAAATCTAAGGCTAGAAACAGCCCCAGGCCAATGAAGGCCAAAGTCTCAAGACCCCATGTTTAGAAAGATACAGTGAGGTCATAACGGAGGGACAGCAGCTCCCCACCCTGATCCTTCAGGTCATAAATAAGCTTAGAGTCTTCTCCATACTTTCCAGTTAGGGTTTCCTGGAGGAAAAAAAAAAAATGTAGTCACAATCATCACTATATTTATTTAAAAAAAATTTTTTTTTTTGAGACAGGGTCTTGCTATGTAATTCAGGCTGGCCTTGAACTCGCAGCAAGCCTCCTGCCTCAGCCTCCCAAGTGCTGGGATTATAGGCGTGCACCACCATACTAGGTGAAAATAAAACAACTGTTTTTGTTTTTTTGGTACCGGGATCGGGGATCGAACTCAGGAGCTTGCACTTGCAAGGCAGGTGCTGGAACCACTGAGCTAAATCCCCAGTCCTTTTTTATAACTTTTTTGTTTGTCTGTTTGTTTTACAACCTAAAAGGTTTTGAAAACAAAAACCTACCACTGAAGCATGATTAATTTTGACTGTTCTATGTTTTTGCTGAGATTGGAAATTTAAATCTACAGTCTCTAATTTAATCTGAAGTAATACCATGGAAAGACTTGGGGAAAAGGGAATTTAGGAAAAGAGAAGAGCAAGAACCAAGAGCCTGCTGGGCATAGTAGTGCATGCCTGTAATCTCAGAACTTTGGGAAGCTAAGACAGGAGGATGGCAAATCTAAGGTCACCCTGGGAAACTTAGCAAGACACTGTCTCAAAACAGGCTGAGGCTATAGCTCAATGCAAAGGTCTGAGTTCAGTATGAGAGAGGTGGGGGGGGGGGAGAATTTACAGCCAGGTAAGGTAGCACACAGCTGTAATTTAGCATATGGGAGGCTGAAGGAAGAGGATCTCCATGAGTTTCTGGCCAGCCCGGGGCTACACAGTGTCCAAGGCCAGTCTGAACTACATAGCAAGACCCTGTCTCGCCAGGTGGGCATGGTGGCATATGCCCCAGCACTTGGGAGGCTGAGGCAGGAGGATTGCCATGAGTCTAAGGCCAGCCTGGACTATATAGTGAGTTCAAGGTCAGGCTAAACTACATAGCAAGACCTGGACTCAAAACAAAACAAAACAAAACAAAACACCCTGTCTCAAAAAAAGAAAAAAGAGAGAGGGCTGAGGATTTAGCTCAGTGGTGCCCGTGCCTGCCTTGAAAGCACAAGGTCCTAAGTTTGATCCCTTGTATCAAAAAAAAAAAAAAAAAGAAAGAAATACATCAAGACTATTTTTCACAATTAATGGATAAATTAGATACTTCCGTCTCAAAGAAAGAAAAAAGAGAGAGGGCTGAGGATTTAGCTCA